CTTTCTTTCTTTCTTTCTTTCTTTCTTTCTTTCTTTCTTTCTTTCTGGTTTGTTTGTTTGATTTTTTTCCAAGACAGGGTTTCTCTGCAGCTTTGGAGGCTGTCCTGGAGCTTACTCAGTAGACCAGGCTGCCTCGAACTCACAGAGAGATCTGTTTGTCTAAGAGGCGGAAGTCTTATGTAGTCAATCTTTCATTCACTATTTTATTCTACTTCAGTTTGCTTGTTCTAGGCATTGGGCTTATGTATTAGATATAAAACAGTTTTCAGCACAGATACATACATACATACATACATACATCTGTACATACATACATATATATCCAAACAAGTAGACAACTATCAATACTTAAAGCAGTAATTGTTATGAATAAGGGTGTTTGGGTTTGATAAGACAGTTCAGTTAGTAACAAGAAAATCTGAGTTTGATTCCCAACATGTAAGCACACATACAAATAAATAAAAATCTCTTTTTTATCATGGTCAGAGAACCCTTCTCTAGGATGACTTTGTTTTTCGAGACAGGATCTCTCTGCTGCGCCAAATACAGAAGGAATACATGTTCAGAGAAAGGTCTGTGTGTCTGGAAAAATAATAGACAATGGAGAACATGAAACTGAAAAGTTAATGAGGGCTACCCACAACATGGATTATCTAACAGAATGTACAATGGTGACATTTAGCTAGAAACCCTGGGGGAGAGTAACAAATGAAAGCAATAAACATATTTAAGCTTGAGTTGATCCTAAGAGGGAGACTACAGTTTTTCTGAAAAGTTGGTGTCTTTCATTCCCTTACCTATACTGGATAAGTTAGGGTCCCAATGTCACATTCCCACTGGCACTGTCTGTTCCTGACAGCTTTGTGATGGCAGCAGTAGCTGAGGGAAATCCTCAATGAGAGGCTTCTTAATATTTACTAAGTTCCACTAGAATTACTAGTTGCGATTGTCAGTATCTTTTGTGTCTTATTTTTAATCAAATTATCAACCACATTACAAAATTAGGTGACCGTAGATTTTAGTAGAAAACATGCGATACTTGGAGGGAGCAGCAATATCCAAAGTGGAGACATAGGGGGCCAACAGGGGGCTGGAGAGATGGCTCAATGGTTAATAGTACTGGCTGCCCCTCCAGAGGACCCACAAGGCAGCTCACGACTGTAACTCAAGTTCCAAAAGATCTGACACCCTCATGCAATGCACATAAAATAAAATCATTAAAAAAAAGCTCTGAAGCACAGACAGCTGCAGTCTTCCAGCCTCATTATCCAACCTAAGAAATCTTAACTGCTCAAACCTTAACGGCTTGGTTTATGTTACCCAAAGATGGCAGCCAACAGTATCAGACATGAACAGTTTCAGCCTGCTTTATACACCACTGACTAGACAGACATCTTTGCTTCAATCTCCTCAGGAGATTTTTATACTCTGGCACAATTGTCTTTATAATCTTTCAGTTTAAGCAGTTAAAACTGGAAATTCTTATTAATTTAAAGTTTCTAAATACAACTGTAAAATTATTTAATTTTTATTTAAGTATTAAATGAATTACTTAATTCATGAAAATTATATTAAACAAAGCCAGATATAGTAGCCCTGAAATCCTAGATACTTTGGAGGCTGAGACTAGGAGGATTACTAAATCCAGGAGTTGGAGGGCAGCCTAGGCAATAGCAAGACCTAGCCTCTAAAAAAGAAAACGGAAATAATTTTATAAAATAAAAGCTTGCCTAAAACATTTTCCCTGTAATAATTTTTAAAAAATACTTACTTTGCTGGGCGTTGGTTATACAGGCCTTTAGTCCCAGCATTCAGGAGGCTGAGGCAGATCTCTGAGTTCAAGGTCAGATTGGTCTAAAGAGTAAGTTCCAGGACAGGCAGGACTGTTACTTAGAGAAACACTGTCTCAAAAAAAGTTTTTTACTTTATATATGTATGTATGTATATGTATCGCATATGTGTAGGAGGCTGTGGAGTCAGAAAGGGCATCAAATCCCCTAGACTTGGAATTGTAGAAGGTTTTGAGCTGCCACATGGATGAACCCAGGTTCTTTGCAAAAGCAGTAAATAACCACTAAACCATCTCTCTGGCTCCCATACTGTGTGTGCGTGAGTGTGTGCATGTGTTTAAGCCTAGAATTCACAATTCTTTTGCCTCTATCTCCCAAGTTCTGATCCTGGAAAAATTCTTTGAACACTCTTGGAACCACTTGCTCTAGCTATAGCTATCTTTTTCACTTATTAAAAAGTTTAATTTTTTGAAAGGTTGATATATTATTAATGGGATCTCTGATCAAGAAAATCATAAATTACAGATATATTCTTCAAGTTATGAACAAAGCTCTAGGGCCCAGACATGTATAATCGGTGGCCTTGAGTCAAAGCATAAGAGAATAACTATGTCTACTACACAATATAAAATCCTGTGAACTCATTTAAGATATCCTAAGGATTATTTGTCATTTGGCTGGGGACTGGGTGTTGGTGGTGTAACTTGATTCTAAGGTTCTAAGGTATGAACTCTGTAGACAGCAGTGTCATGTCACAATGCCAGAAGATGGGTCTACCTGTTAGGTGTTACAGGGATGTTGCTGCTTTATGATCCCAGTGTTTATATGTTTTTGTTTTTTGAGATAGGGCTTCTCTGTGTAACTGTCCTGGCTGTCCTGGAACTCACTCTGTAGACCAGGCTGGCTCCGAACTCACTGAAATCAGCCTGCCTCTGAACTCACTGAAATCAGCCTGCCTCTGCCTTCCAAGAGCTGGGATTAAAGATGTGTGGCACCACCACCCAGCATGTCTATACATTCTTAGAGCAATATTCATCCTACTTTGTGTTGGGACGACCTAGCTAAAATTCTAGAAAAACTAACTTTATCTTGGAAGAGGTTAAGAGACAGACTCCACTGTCCACTCCTAACAGGATTTCTGCAAGCATTCAGTAGTTGCCAATATTCTAAATATATTTAATACCAGCAAATCCCAGTAAAGTTAACTGAGGAGTGTATATGTATAAAGTTCTATAAAGTATAAGACTTCAAGTATTTCTACAGTTTTTCAATATTTGTTAATGAAATCTAGTAGTTTAGACTAGGGGTGTAGTTCATGGGTAGAGCAATTACCTGGCATGCATGAAACCCTAGGTTTGGAGCTACCATGAAGAGGAAGATAGATATGTATGTATGTATGTATGTATGTATGTATGTATGTATATATACGTACACACACACACACACACACACACACACACACACAGTGTTCCGCGTGCATGTACGCCTGTAGGCCAGAAGAGGGCACCAGATCTCATGATGGATGGTTGTGAGCCACCATGTGGTTACTGGGAATTGATCTCAGGACCTCTGGAAGACCAGCCAGTGCTGAGCCATCTCCAGCCCAAAATTTTTCTTTCAACTTAACTGATAATAACCTTAGTACTTTTTAGGGATGTTTACATATCAATTGAATATTCTGTTAAAACAAGGACACCATGATTCTGGAGCTCATTAATCTACTGATCTATTTTTTGAGGGTTTCTCTGCATAGCCCTGGCTGTCCTGGAACTCACTCTGTAGACCAGAGTAGACCAGAGTACCTGGAACTCAGAGCTCCTACTGCATGCTAGGATTAAAGACATTCGCCACCACTGCACAGCTGCTTAAACAAAACAAAACAAAAAACAGGCCCTGGGCAGTGGTGGGACATGCCAGCCAGATTACATAGTCAAACCCTGTTAAAAAGAAAAGAAGAGAAACAAAACAAAAAACCCACCTTGAAATGTAAATTAATGTAAATGTAAATTTTAACCTGCTATGGTACTACAATTCTGTAATCCTGACTCTTGGGATATAGAGAAGGATCAAGGATATAGAGAAGGTCAAGGCCAGCCTGAGCTATTGTGAGATCTTTTCTTTTTTTTTGGTTTTTTGAGACAGGGTTTCTTTGTGTAGCTTTGGAGCCTATCCTGGCACTCCCTCTGGAGACCAGGCTGGCCTTGAACTCACCAGAGATCCGCCTGCCTCTGCCTCCTGAGTTCTGGGATTAAAGGCGTATGCCACCAATGCCCGGCTATTGTGAGATCTTGTTTCAAAGAAATGCAAACCAAGTTGGGTTGGGTGGCACACACACATGCACGCACACACAAAATAAGTAAATAAAAAGGTAATAAAAACTTTTTTAAAAAATTTACCATGTTGAGCCGGGCATTGGTGGCGCATGCCTTTAATCTCAGCCTTCGGGAGGCAGAGGCAGGCAGATCTCTGTGAGTTCGAGACCAGTCTGGTCTACACAAGCTAGTTCCAGGACAGACAAAAAAAAAAAAAAAAAAAAAAAAAAAAAAAAAAAAAAAAACCTACTGAAATTTTGAAGAACACAGTTTAAAATGTTATAAACTAGGGCTGACTGAAGAGATAGCTCAGTGGTTAGAAGCACTAGCAGCTCTTCCAGAGGACACGGGTTCAATATTCCTAGACCCATGTGATGGCTTAAAACTATTTTAAAATCTCATAAATCTATTGGCCTCATACTAAAGTGTCATATTCTTCTCATTCTTATGTGACTATTGTCCTTACTGGATTACAAGACTTATTTATTTAAAGTATAATACAACTCCAATAGAATCTAAAATGCTCTAATTAACAGCAATACCAAGCTAAAGATTTAGCAAAACAAAACTATACATTCAAATTTTAAGGCTGAATCAAATTCATATTTCAGTCAGTTTTCTTCACAGAAATGGACAAAGCTGTATCTAGAACTACTAAGAGATGTGGGTCAATTATAAGTAAAATGTTATTGAACACAAGTAGGTGAAGAAATACATTTCAAGGGGCTGGAGAAAAGACTCAGACGAGCACTGGCTGCTCTTCCAGAGGACCCGGGTTCAATTCCCAGTACCCACGTGACAGCTCACAACTGTCTATAACGCCAGTTCCAGGACTTTTTTGTTTTGTTTGTTTTTTGAGAGAGGGTTTCTCTGTGTATCTCTGGGGCTTAAAGGCGTCTGACAACACCACTCTAATAGTTCCAGGATTTTTGACACATTCTCACAGACATACATGCAGGCAAACCACCAATGAATATGTGAAATTAAAAAAAAAATACAGTTCAAATTAACAGTTGTCACACAAATTGGTCCACGTAACAAGAATGTAGAAAATCACAGAAGCAGATATACAACAGTTCAGCAATAAAACAGATTATGGAAAAATAATCTAGCGAAACATAGGGTAAATGCGTTAGCACATGTCTGGAAAACTGGATTTTATGTTAGAAGAGGGAGAAGAATCACGATTGAATGTATACTTTTAAAACTATGTTAAATATATACACCGAGTCAACTTGTAATAAAGCAGTTATTACATCTTAGATTCCCCTCCTAACGCTATCATAAAAGACTCTGTGAAGCTTAAGTTTCAGGAACATTCTAAAACAGCTATTGTGGACATCAGGTGGTTTCTTTGTGGCTTACTGATGACACAGCTTTCTTGACAGCTCACAACTAATTAGACCCAATTGTCTGCCTAATGGCCCGTTCCAATCCCACCTGAATATCAAGAACTAAAGGGATGTCCAAGCTCCCTAAAAAGGGGATCCCAAAGGACCAAGGGGGCACCAGCGTGGAGGGCTTTGGGGGTCTGCCTGCGACAACCCGACTGCCAGGGCCTGCAAGGCGCGTCTCCTAGCAGGGTTCAGACTTGGGAACAGGGCCTGGACTGCGCTCCCCATACAGAAGCAGAGGGGTCACATCGGCGTCCCAAACAGACCCAGAGGCACCAAGGAGCCCCGGGCACGACCCCGCGGCCTGAAGAGGCTAGACGTCCGGGTCGGCCCCGCAGCGAAGCAAGCCCGGGGCCGAGCAACATAAAACCGAACTGGTGCCGATCGGAGACGAGTGGGCCCCGAGCAAACCCAGCGGCGCCGAGCGGACCCGAACAGACCCGAGCGGACTTGGCCACAGGGGTAGGCTGTCTGAGCCCAGCCGCACCGCGGGTCCTCCCACCTGGTTCACTCGACGCTAACGAGAACCAAGAAAGACCCAGCAGCACTATCTCGGAGCCTTCTCAGGCCCGCTCCCCAGTCACCTGCCACGAACACCACGAAGACAGCGCCGCTCCTCTTAGCAGACGCGATGGCCGCCGGAATGGCGCCCTGGAACCACAGCATCGCTCCCCTCAGGCCCAGGAGCTCGCTCGGTGTGTCGTCGCCGCGGTCCCACAGCCGGCCCCGCCCTCCTCGTTTTCCGGCCTCGCGGCCCGGGCAACCACCGGCTTTGGCCGACGCCTCGTCTGAGGACCCAGCTCCTCACTGGCTCGTACGCCCGACAGCGGCCCCCCTGGGGACGCGCACCGGAGCGCGCTGGGCAGAAAAAGCACGCCCCCTGTCACGTGACCACGCACGTCGCCAGGGGTCGCGCGCCCCCGTGCCTTGTCTGCTAGGTAAGTCCGCCGGTGCGCGCGCCCGCGACGCCTCCGGTTCCGACTCCAGGAAGGGGAAGGAGGCATCAGGAAGGATGACTAACCGCTACGGCACGTCGGCGTCGCCTGCAGTGAGGCTCCCTGGGAATTGTAGTCTTTCGAGGCTTGCTTATTTCGTTGCTGTGGAACTATAAACCGTGGTTTCGAGGCACGACAAAAGGGACAGTAGTGAGCGCCACAACGCTATGAGAATGAATGAAAGATAGCGAGTTGCTGTCACTCTTTGACTTGTGGAGGCAATCTGTTCCACAAAGAAGTAAAAATAAATAACCTTTACAGGTGGTCACCGGAAGCCTTTAGTTCCTATTGAGTTTGACCCTGTGAAAAAGACAGGATTCAGAGGGTACTAGTGGCGCTGGGCTTTGCTCCCACACTCAAGAGGCCGAGGTGGGTGGATCTCTGAAAGCTAGAGACCAGCCTGCTCTACATCTACATAACAGATATCTGTCCAGGCCAGCCAGGATATGTGGAGAAACCCCCCGAACCAAAAAACAAACTAAGGAAAGAAAAAGACTGGCTAAAGGCACAGCCGTAGTTTATTGTAGTACCATAAACCCTCTTCCCTGAGGGGGGGTATTGGCAGAATACTGGCTTTCGGGGATATAATGGGCATTGACTAACTGGATCACATTCTAAAACCTCTGGCCACTATGCTATGTAAGCAACTTATTTATTTTTATTCCTGTGAAAACAATCTTGCTGGCCTTGGACAGACATCTGTTATAATACTCATTGTCAACTCAATTGGATTTGGATTCACTTAGGAGATACACTTTGGGCTATATACACTTTGGGTTTTCAGAGTTTAACAGAAGAGGGAAGAGTCTCTCTGAAGGTGGGTGACACCATCCCTACACCCCAGGGGCCCATAATGAGTAGAAAAGGGGAAGGCTACAATGCCTTTTCTGTCATATGGTTAAACAGTGCCAAAAGAAACATTTTTTCTGTGATGTTGTTTTCTGTCAAGTCTTTAATCACAGCCACAAATAACTATCCACCATGTTTCTGTCTGAGCATTATTAGTGCTGAGATTACAGGCCTGTGCTATTTGCCTAGTAAATTGACTTGTTTGTTTGTTTTGATACAGGGTTTCTCTGTGTGTAGCCCTGGCAATCCTAGAATTCACTATGTAGACCAGGCTGGCCTTGAAATCACAGAGATCTACCTGCCTCTGCCTCCCAAGTGCTGGAATTAAAGGCATGTGCAACCACAGCCTGTCCTGTGGCCACTTTTTGAACACTTATTTTCCAGCTGCTTTCTTTACGTTAACACAAAAGAAGAAAACAATGGTTTCATTCCATTGTTATGTGAGAATGTCCTAAAGATATGGCAATTTGTGGTTGGTTGACATTGAAATAAATATTAATCTATATGTAATACCTTCATAACATTTTGTGCTTTTTCTTAAATAAGATCTGAGGATTTATGTGGCTTAACATTGCATAAGTAAGTACATTGTGTTCTATATCAAATTTCCCCTCCTGCATCTGACAGTGTTTAAGAAATTAAGGAGGTGATATAAAAATAGTCCATTATGTAACTCCATATGTTATGTTACCTAAAAGTAGCTAATAAATTACAATGCAAAGTTTGTATTTTTCAACCAATTTAAAAAACTGAAACAATGATCTCTATATAGGAAGCCATTCTCTAGAACTAATAATTGATTTTTTTTTTACTTCAATTTCAGATTGGCTTTATTTTTTCTCTCCTCCACCCTTCTCTACATTGCCAGAAATAAAATTCAGGGTCTTATGTGTGCTAGGCAAGCACTCTGCTACAACTCCAGCCCTGTGGACTTCCTAAAATTCAATCTGCAATCAGGTAGGATTTTGAGGTTTCACAATAAAGAAATGATAAATGAGGTAGATTTGTTTAGCTTGGTTTAAACATTCTATGATATATTCATGTATTGAAACACACATGGGAGCCCATTAATATATACAACTTTATGCTTTTATGTATGGTTTCTAAATAACTTAGCCTGGCCGGACAGTGGTGGTGCATGCCTTTAATCCCAGCACTCAGGAGGCTGAGGCAGGTGGATCTCTGTGAATTCAAGGCCAGCTTGGTCTACCGACCGAGTCCTAGGACAGCCAAGACTGTTACATAGAGAAACCCTGTCTCAGAAAAAAACCAAAAAACTTAGGCTCACAGTGTAACAAAGTGGTAGAGTACTTGCCTAACATGCGAGTTCCATCCCCAGGATGGCATGAACTGGATGGGGTGACACGAAACAAAATCCCAGCTCTTATGAGGCTAAGGCAAGAGGATCAAAAGTTCAAGGTTATTCTGTCTCAAAATGATAAAAGTTCCATGTCTTAACTTGAAATAGCATTTTTTTTTTTTTTTTTTGGTCTTTCGAGACAGGGTTTCATTTTATGTCGCTTTGGAGCCTATCCTGGCACTTGCTCTGGAGACCAGGCTGGCCTCGAATTCACAGAGATCCGCCTGCCTCTGCCTACTGAGTGCTGGGATTAAAGGTGTGGGCCACCAACGCCCGGCTTGAAATAGCATTTTTTGTTTTGATTTGTATGCATGGATTTGTAATTGTTTGTTTTTTGAGATAGGGAATATGTAGCCCTGGCTTTCCTGGATGGAGCTCATTGTGTACATCATAGAAATTCTCCTGCCTCTGCCTCCCAAGTGCTGGGATTAAAGACATGCACCATCATGGCAAGCCATACTTAATAATTTGTATGAAAATCATATAAATAGGGGGACATGGGAGGATGAAAGGGAGGGGGAAGTAGTATTGATATGTAAAATAAGACTTTCTAATTTAAATAAAAATTACTATAAAAAAGAAGTAGACACACACAAAAAAAGTAAATAATGTAAAGAAAACTTTTTTTTTTTTCTTGAGAGAGAAAAGTTGCATAAAGAAAGTTGTCTATATGGAGTAAAATTTACCTGCCTGTAGACCAGGAAGAAAATAACTCGATAACTGTGTAAGGCTTGTGGATGCATATGAAATAAAAATGGAAGAAAAAAATTTGCATTTGTCCTAGCTTCATTCAAAAATCAAGTTTTCTTGTGTAAACTACTGTGAAATCCCTCTTCTGCTTCAAAGGCAGATACAGGTGAGTAATATACAGTTGCATCAGTGGCAAGGTGTAGGGCAGTAACAAGGAGTTAGTCCATAAAGTCTGAAAACAGCCAGCCCTGGTAGTGAATACCTCCATTTGTAGTCGGCATAACCCTGTACAAACTTCCTAACCTCTCTGACAGTTCAGTTGGCCTCACTAGATAATTAAAGCCAAGAGGGAACCTGCCCTGTAGGCTATGTGATTACACAGAAAGCAGCATTGTAAGTGCTTAGCAAGGACTTGGTAATTAAGTGGTAATTAAGTGCTTTAGAGGTGATGGCTATTGTTTCTGAAGGCCTGCCCAAATCATGTTTAAGAAAACTATGCATGTACTTCTCAGAATGCAAAGCCTTTGTTTTGCTAGATCGTTTCTAAATTTAATCACTGGACAAATACTTGTTGAGAAATGCATTACTGGTGTGGAGGAGGTATTAGTAAACAAGAGCCATAGACAATCTGTCTGGAGGATTACATTCCGATGGGTAGCAAAACATTAAGCAATGAATTGGCCAATTACTCTTGTAATTGCCACTGTGATAAATGCTGAGAAAAGGAACTACAGGATATTATTAGTTTACATTAAGTCATTAATTATAGTTTACCAGAAATAGCCTCAAGTGAGACTGAAATAGACCACTGGAAAAGCTAGCTACTTGAAGGAAGTAGTATTTAAATACGAATGAAGTGCTCTGTGGAGAGGCTCCTCATTCAAAGGCACACACACATTTCTCTGCAGAGGACTTCAGTTCAGTTCTGTGAGCACCCACATTAGGTGGCTCACAATAGCCCATAACTCCAGCTTCAGGGGATCTCACCATTTCCTTTGGTTTCTGTGGAAACCTACATACATGTGCACATAACAAATATACATACACATATAATTAAGAAAAATCTTTTTTTCCCCCAAGTTCACTGGAATATTCCAGGTGGGAAATAAATGTTTCAAGCAGAAGTTAAATACAGAAACAATCCTCATTTTTGTGCTTTGAAGGCCCACTCAAATCATTTTGTGTGTACACTTGTGTGAAAGCCAAAGGTATTTCAGTTGTCATTCCCAAGAACCATTCACCTTATTTATTGGGTATAGGGTCCTTTACTGACTTGAAGTGCCAAGCAGACCAGGCTGGCTAACCAGCAAGGCTCAGAGATCTGCCTTTCTCAGCCTCCCCAGGAATGGGCTTACAAATCACTTTTGTTTGTTGTTTTTATTACCACCGCCCCCTCCCCAGACATGGGTTTTACTGCATTTGCAGACTGATTACTCAACATGTTATGTACAGGAGATAATTTTGGATTGTAAAGAGAGAGGACCTTACTCTAGTTTTCTAGGGTGTTACTGTCTGATACCACTTAAAAATTTAATTTTGGTCCTGGGGCCATCGAGATAGCTCATTGGGTAAAGCCTGCCTCCAAGTGAGCACCAGAACACACATGGTAGAGAACCGAGTTTTCCTCTGACTTGCACAGGTTCCCCACCTCAAATATATGTAATTTTCAACAAGTTCTGTGCTGTGAATGTATGGATCTTCTAAGAGAATTCTGTAGTGAAGATGACTTTGAATTCTTGATCCTCTTGCCTTGATCTCCCAAGTGCTGGGATTAGAGGGGTTGCTTGCTTAATGCAGAGCTGTGGATGGAACCCAGAGCTTCATGCTTACTGGGCAAGCTTGGTCTCTACCAACTGAACTACATCTCCGGCGATCCCCAGGATCACTACTACTCTTGAACTGTAGGGCCAATACTAGGCAATAAAAGAGCAACTTG